TAAGGTATATCACGAATTTTTTAAAAACATTCCTTAAAAATAGAGGATGTAATACATTTAAAAAAAGTCAAGAAATGTAAGCTTGACATGTTTGATTTAGATAATTTAATTCAAAATTGTAAGTCACAAAAAATCGTGAATTTAAGTTGGTCAAAGGTTCATTAAGATTTTATCATCTAATTAAAGTTATGAGCTTAACATTGTCTTCATCATTTCTTTTATTTTTTATCGACTTTTTTTTGGTCAATTGTCTTCAACAATTCTTGACAACTAAATTTAAGATATCAACAATGATTTTTTTGTTATAACACATATCATATATGGACTCTTATACCGGCCCATTAGGCCCATCAGGGCATTGTACTTAACCTAGATTCCCTATGTACTCTATATATATATTCCAGTGATTAATAAAGTTTCTAAGTTTTCACAACACGTTATCAGCACGATAAGACTCTCTGAGCGAAAAACCCTAATAAATCCGGCCACCACCAAAACCCTAAAAGCAAGTCGAAACTTAAAAGACGCATATCTTCCAAACCGTGAGGAACCAGAAGACGATCTACATACCAAATCGAAGCCCTCGACGAGACGAATCTACTGGTGAAAACCGTTTGTCGATCCAACGTCGGACGCGCCCTCACGCACACTTACAGTACACGACGATCAACCGAAAAAACCAGATCCGAGTTTTTCCTTCTTCAACCAGCAGCTTCTCCAGTTTTGGTGATCAATCCTTGGAATTTGTAGCGGCTAACTGAGGTCTATTAGCTCCCAGTTTCATTAGCCTGTCAGAAATCCAAAGGTGGAAAAGCACACCAGCAAATGGAAACCATAGTCGTAGATAGTGGATCCAGCCACACTATCTTAAGAAACAAAAGTTACTTCATAAACATAACCTATCAAACCGCAAATATTAGCACCATCGCGGGTCCCTCAAACCTTATCGAAGGATATGGCCATGCCTATGTGTTGCTATCAAATGGCACACAACTTGAAATACCAGATGCTCTATATTCTCCTAGTTCGAAGAGAAATCTTCTGAGCTTCAAGGATATAAGACAGAATGGTTTCCACATAGAAACCCAAGGTCAAGGGAACAAAGAATCCCTCCTAGTCACTAAAACCGTAGACGGCCATAAACAAATCCTCGAAACCATACCCGCGCTCTCTACTGGACTTTACCATGCTAAAGTCCGGTTTACTGATTATACTATTTGGCACGACCGGCTCGGTCATCCCGGTGCAAATATGATGCGTAAACTAATTCAAAACTCTCAAGGGCATACCCTCAAAGAAAACCGAGCTTATCCTCAACACCTCATGTGCACAGCTTGTTCTCAAGGCAAATTGATCACTCGGCCTTCACCTGTTAAATCTCTAAACAAACACTTCATTTCCTAAGATATCTCGAGCCAACCATTGGAGATATGTTGGTTTTGACTCTCCCACCATCATAAGATATCTCGAGCCAACCACTGGAGATCTCTTCAAGGCCAGATATGCGGATTGCCAATTCGATGAATCGGTATATCCCTCTTTAGGTGGTGAGACAAACAAGCTGGTCAAAGATCTTTCATGGAATCAAACATCATTAAATTGGCAAGATCCTCGGACTCTAGAATGTGATTCAGAGATCCAAAAGATTATTCATTATCAAAAGCTAGCTAATCAATTGCCAGATTCCTTTGCTGACCCGACCAAAGTAACCAAATCGTACATCTCAGCTTGTAATGCACCAGTACGAATAGCTGTCCCAACGGGACAGACCCAAGTTGCTACAGAGTCTGCACCACGTCTCAAACGGGGCAGACCTCTCGGTTCCAAAGATAAGAATCCCCGGAAATCAAAGAAAGGTGCAATAACCGAAACCAGGATTCCTGCAATATCAGACATAGCCGCGGCTGAGACTCAATCTAATGAACCCTCAATGGAAGTTCGGGACGCCGAATCTCCAGGTTCAGAAGATAACAATGAGATCTCCATCAATTACAATATGTCCGGAATACAATGGAATCGAAAAGAAGTCGACTTAAATGCACTCTTTGCATACAAAGTAGCACTTGATGTTGCGCTCACGCAAGAGGATCTAGAACCCACGTCAATAACACAGTGTACACATCGAACAGATTGGCTAAAATGGAAAGAAGCCATAAACGTGGAGTTAAAGAGTCTCAAACTCAGAAACGTGTTCGGTCCGATCATCCGGACCCCATCACACATCAAGCCAGTGGGCCACAAATGGGTCTTTGTGCGCAAAAGGAACGAACTCGGTGAAGTCGTTCGATACAAAGCAAGGCTTGTAGCACAAGGATTCTCACAGAGACCCGGAATCGATTATGAGGAGACTTATTCTCCAGTGGTGGATGCAACAACATTCCGATTCCTCATAAGTCTGGCCATAAGAGAAAATCTTGATCTGCGGTTAATGGATGTTGTAACCGCATATCTCTATGGGCCCCTGGACAACGAAATATATATGAGACTCCCAGATGGCATTGAACTAAAAGACAAAAATGCATCTCGAGATCAATACTGCATCAGGCTGAACAAATCCTTGTATGGACTGAAACAAAGTGGGCGTATGTGGTACAACCGCCTCAGCGATTACCTCATCAAAGAAGGCTACAAAAATGACCCCATCAGTCCATGCATCTTCATCAAGAAGTACTCAAACAAAGGATTTGTAATCATAGCAGTATACGTGGATGATCTAAACATCCTCGGAACATCTGGTGAGATCTCCCAAACAGTCGACTGCTTAAAAGCAGAATTCGAAATGAAAGACCTAGGCAAAACAAAGTACTGTTTGGGATTACAACTTGAGTACATCAAAGGAGGAATCCTTGTGCATCAATCGGCTTATATCGAAAAGGTACTCAAGCGATTTAATATGGACCAAGCTCACCCATTGACCAGCCCAATGGTAGTTAGAAGCTTAAGTGATGACCCTCTTGGTCCCAAAAAGGATGATGAAGAAATCCTTGGTCCTGAAAAGCCATACCTCAGTGCTGTAGGAGCGTTAATGTACCTGGCTAGTCACACTAGACCAGACATATGTTTCGCCGTGAACCTCCTCGCTCGATATAGTTCATCTCCAACTCAGAGGCACTGGAACGGTATAAAACATCTCCTAAGATACCTTCGAGGTACTCAAGACTTAGGACTCTTCTATACTAACCAAAATAAAGATGGGTTAGTCGGCTTCGCCGATGCAGGATATCTATCAGATCCGCACACTGCCAAGTCTCAAACTGGCTACGTTTTTACGCATGGAGGAACAGTCATCTCTTGGAGATCAATGAAGCAGACACTCACTGCCACTTCATCAAACCATGCTGAAATCCTAGCCATTCATGAGGCTAGTAGGGAATGCGACTGGCTGCGCTCCATGACTCAGCACATCCGCAGAGATTGTGGTATGGACGAAGACACACAGCCCACGGTGATGTATGAAGACAACGCGGCATGCATAGCTCAGCTCAAGGAAGGATATATCAAAGGAGATCGGACGAAGCACATTCTACCGAAGTTCTTCTCAACCTCAGACTGGCAGAAGGACGGCACTCTCAGCGTTCAGCAGGTCCGATCCAGTGAGAATTCAGCTGACCTCTTCACCAAATCATTGCCTACTTCAACACACCGGAAGCTCGTCAAACAGATAGGAATGTATAGACTTAGAGATCTGCAGTGATGCTACAATCAGGGGGAGTAATGCGTGTTGTACTCTTTTTCCTTCATCATGGTTTTGTCCCACTGGGTTTTTCCTGGTAAGGTTTTAATGAGGCAACATTCCCCAGCGCATTATCGAGATCCCGATTGAGTAGCTGACCCGGTTCACTCGTCCAAGAGGGAGTGTTATAACACATATCATATATGGACTCTTATACCGGCCCATTAGGCCCATCACGGCATTGTACTTAACCTAGATTCCCTATGTACTCTATATATATATTCCAGTGATTAATAAAGTTTCTAAGTTTTCACAACATTTTTCCAATTTTGTTATCCAATGATTTTTTCCACTTTTGTTATCCAACGTTAGATGGAACCAACCAAAAAACTATTAGTGCAAAATGACAAAATAAGAAGATAAAAAAACAAAGAAAATATAAAGGAAAAAAAATTAACTATTGAATGTTTCTTTATTATTTATTCATTTATATTATAGTAACTTAAAATTACAATACTTGATTGATCCTTTGACTTATAATACATTCTGTCTTCATCGGCATGCTACAAGTAAGTAAATTTTAAGCTATGCATGAAATTTTAAAACTTCGATCTGCAAATTTGAATCAAGAGCCATGGTTCAATTTATAGTTATATATTTGGTAAAAAAAATTAATAATATTTTTTTACCAAACTCATCAAGCAAAAAAACTTTCACCATGGCTACAAACTTTACACTTGAACAATTCAAAATCATATATATTAAATGAGAATGTAGTTTAATGAAAAAAGCCGATTTGTTATAATTTGATTGATTTAGAAAAGCTTCCTTGCCAACGTTAATGATGACGCTTATTCCATGTCAAATATGACATGGCAAAGGAGCTAGTTCTGCGCAAATTCATTGGATGCTGATGTGTAATTTCTGTCCAAGTTTTTCTGATTTAAAAAAAAAAGCTAAAAAAGAGAAAATCATAAATGGATAAACACGCGGATCTTTATACCCGACCCAGACCAATTATCTGTATTTTAAAACATCCTTAAGCCCAATACTTCATACAAGCCCATTTGTAAAATTTTTGAAATTATGGTTTTTAAAAACTTTTCCGCGTAAGAAAATAGAAATTTTTTCCAAAATAGAAGATTACATTAACTATTAGCAAGATTTACTGGAGTTAATGTAACCAAATATACATAAATCTTAATATTTCAGAAAGAAACAAGATTTATCTTACATTTTAATACTCTACGTCAATTTTGGCAATTAAATCAATTTGAATATATCGATTCTCAAATATTTCCGCAACAATACCTACTTCTACGCACATTCCGAATATCCATATTCCTCATTTCATTCTCTTTTTCAAAATAATTTCAATCCCGCCTAACATCAATTTTAAAATGTTCTCATTGACTTCCTCTCCCTATATATACCACCTATCGTAAACCCTAAAACTCTACCATTCTCATTCACAAAAATGGCTTTAGTCCGTAGACGTTTGGCTGCTATAGTTCCATTTACCAAATTAGATCAATCAAGTGAAATTCAGAAAGTTAGAGCTACTATATTTTCACTTTGGAAAGTCAAGAACAGGCAGTCTGGCTTTGTTATAGAAATGGTATTCGTTGACGAAGAGGTTTGTATGCGATCTTATGTATTTTGTTTATTGTTATTTTAATCAATATATAGATTATATAGTAATACTATTGATGTGTGATTCACAGGGCACGAGGATTCACGCTACTGTTGATGAAGAATTGATCGCAAAACATAAAGGCATCCTTATAGAAGAAAAATCACTTTCTATTAATTGCTTCATCATTAAAGAATACTATGGTGATTTTAGGACTACTCCATTACCATACAAGATCGCTTTGTGCAGAACAACCCGTGCTAAGGAGATTAATGATTTTCCACCAGACTTGCCAGAGAAATATTTGTCTGATTTCAAGTCAATCAAGGAAGACAAACTCGACAAAAACGTCCTCATCGATATGTCATCATCACGATTATGAAAATTATATTTTAATGTACTTATTTATCATTGTATACAAATATTTTGTCTTCAAGATGTCATTGGACAAATTATCACCGTTGGGAGTATGGAAGTTATAAAAACTAATGAAAATAGTGGGATCAGCGAGAAATTGATGATAACACTCCGGGATACCAAGTAAGTAGTTATGATATCATACCAAAATAAACATAACAATATTTTAACAATGGAACGCTAATATGTTTATTGCTGAAGCGATGTCCAACTAAAATGTACACTATGGGGACAATATGCAAAAACAACTGTTGAGTACACTGACAAATATATGGCTGCTATTGTTGTGTGTGTAATGCGATTTGTCTGTATAAAAGAGCACAAAGTTTAGATCACTATATCCCCTATTCATATATACACAGTTTGTAGAGATTGGTATTGGATTAGTTTGTTCATTATTCTTATTTTATGTTTTTCGAGTATAGGTGACATTTCAATATATAAAGCTTTCAACTCCACCAAATTTTTTTTTGATCCTGACATCAAGATCGTGAAAGACTTCAGAGAAAAGTAAGTTATGTGGCAATTTTAATATCATTTTAACATCTTTTATTTATATAATTATTATTTACGATTTTGTATGTTGCCAAAAAACAATCAAATGATTGTGCATGCTGAACAGAGTTATTCGACTTCTTGGGATGGTGCTATTGACTACCGTGAAGAATTTTTAAGTGTGAAAAATAGGAGGCGGACGATAGCTGGAATTCGTGATACAAAAGTGGTATAAGCTATATTTTAAAAATGATACAAATATATTAACATTTCACTATATGCATATCAATGATTTTGTTATAGTCTGGCAAGATTGTAACATGTGTAGCGGTCAAAGACGTTGACACTTCAAAGCTATGGTATTATTGGGCATGCAAACCTTGCAACATCAAAGTTTTAGAGCATGGTATTATGTCTGATGATAAAGATTACGATAAGAGGATTCCTCTTTTCAGTTGCGAAAATTGTGGAGATATTTATTCATATGATACCATCGTCGCAAGGTAATACAATGATTTATCCCATAAAGTCAAGAAAACATTACTTATTTCATTAAGACTTTCTTTGGTAAGATATATAGCAGATATAGCAGAATTATTTCATGTAGACTTTCTCTGATTGACTGCCTAAATGTTCGCCTTATTTTATTACATTGATTCGTCCCATCATACAATTATTCCGACACTACATTACATGTTTATTTATGTAACGTTTAAATAACTCACTCTTCTGTTTCCTTTCAAACTATGTAGGTACTATATTGTATTATTTGTAACTGATGATTCAGACGTCGATGTCCGCTTCCTGATGTTTGATGACACTGCTCAAAGATTGTTAGCTGAGTCTATAATGGAAAAAACGATGAGGTTATTTGTTAAATAATTGTATACATTATGCATTATTTATATTTTCTGAAATAATATTAATCTATTATATATAATGATGCGCATGATTTACCAAGAGGGCTCCCTGATGGCTTGACAAAGCTCCTAACAATGAGGATGCTTTTCAAAATAACAGATTCAGAAGAGCATACAAAAGGAAGCCAGTCTCCGTATGTAGTAGAACTATGGTCTCAAGATGTCGACATTATGACTGAGTGAGATTCTCGATCAGAGGTAATATATAGGATAGATTTTACAGACTTCTCAAACTCGCTAATATCGTTTAATTAAATTAAGACGTCAACAATGTTTTATATTTTCAGCAACCGTTGATTCTTACGAGTTCTGACGAACTTGTGAATCCATCGTCTGGATCTTCACTCACTCCTTCATCAAAAAGCCTAATTAAGAGTCCCGACTATTTTGATGAAGGTGAAAGATCTGTTAACAAAAATCGACCAAAGCAAGAGATCCCGATGAAGTTATGAAGAAGCAAGAAATCGTAATGAACTTATTGCAGAAATGCATTGCTGTGATTGATTATTGCTTTTGATCTTTGTAACCAATTTGTCTAATGGGTGGATAACGTTTTAAATCTATTCGTTATTTTTTTGCGGTATTTGTGGAAATTTTTGGCATATTTTTTTTATCTAATTGTGGAACTTGAATGTTGTCCTATAATTTTTTTCCTAATTCAATTTTTTAAAACTTTAATTTGTGATTTAATTTTTTTTTGGTTCAACCAACTATCATAAATTTACACGAGAGTTTCAATAAAGACGACATTAAAACCATAACCGTTTTACTCCATCACATAGAAAATTATTCAGTTCCTTATTCTCTTTCATCTTCAATCTTAACAAAAAAATCTAAACAAAGAATGTCTACTTGTGAAAGAGTTTCCGATCTTCAGAAGACAAACGGCGGATATCGTATTTGTGTACAGATACTAAGAGATTATTATGATTATACTCTCTTCGATCGGCCTAATCGGATGTTAGTTCTTGCGGATGAATTTGTAAGTTTTGGAGGTTTGAAAGATTTACCGTATATATGTTTTAGGAATGTATTTCTTAATTATTTATTTTTATAAACCGTGTAGGGCAATCGCATCCTGTCTACTATTCAATATGATATAATGGACAAATTCGAGTATGAATTGGTTGAAAGAGATTGGGTTTTTATTGGTTATTTTGAAGTTACTGACAGAGTGATTCATCCAAGTATATCTTCAAACAACTATCATATACATTTCCTCGAGGATACCATTGTTGAGAAAACCGATCCAAAGTCTTCTAGAGGAATATACTCTTTTTGTGCATCATGAATATTTAATATAGATTTATTTATACAGATAGATATCTTGGTATGTTTCTTACAATTTTTTTATTTTAAATCGTTTATCTAAGGAACTCTAACATGTATTTAAAGGCAGTCCTTTATTTTTGCAGTTGATCTTCTCGGTGTTGTCACATTTGTTCAGAAACTTCAGTTAACCGTTCCTATGTCTGATACATCGGACACACCCACGCAACGTCCACTTATTCGTTTTAAAATTCAAGATTTCAGGTCTGTACAACTTATCCTTAAAACATCTGTTATGTGTATATTGTTTACAAATTTTAAAGTATATTAATAATGTTCTAAATAATTTAAATATACAGTGGAAAATCTTTGAAATATATTGCTTGGGATAACTTGGCAAGGAAATTTGAAGAACTTTGGAGGAATCGTGAAAGGTCTTCTAGGCATATTATTGTATTGTAATTTTTCTCTTTCACTAGATGGAGAGGTAACTAACTACCTCATTATTTGATATTTTTAATTAATTACAAGTTTTACATATATATTTTTTTTCATATACTAAGTATGTCTATGTATTTAGATAAATGGATAGTTGAATCGGAAAGATTCATATCTGATATTCTCGAGGATCCTCCTACCCCAGAAGTGGAAAGAGCAAGGTTGAGATATGTTTATTCCATCTTTGATATTTTATCCTATATTTTAATATTTATAAATATATATATATATATATATATATGTATAAAGATAAAAAATCCTAATATTATTTCAGGCTTGCAACTTCAATTGATTTTTCTCCGGTCCACGATGAATATAAAAACCAGTCTCAGAAAAGAGATTGTTGTGTCCTATTTCTTATTTTTATAGAGTTAAACTTGAAAATCATAACTTCTATATTATTCTTATTGAGATAACTTATCCAATGATATTATATATATATATATATTTTTAAAAACAATTTAATTGTGTTAGCATTTTTTTGTGAATCATATTCTATTTGTTTTCAACAATAAATAACTATGATACTCAAAATTTGGATGGTCCGTGATTTGTGTCTGTATTAAAAAATAGAGTACATAAATTCCGGTATTGTACTCTCATTAATTATCTGTAATTAATGAAATGAAGTAATTGACTTAATTAAAGAGAAGTAGTCAGTACAAGATATGACATTTTTCTACAATCTTTACATATTTTTCTATATATATTTAATCAATATAAAAGTCAAATATACATATGAATTGAATGTAACCAATTCGGTTTGTTCGTAAGTCACTTAGTGCAATAAATGTCAAAGGTTGCAATTTATTCTAATTTTACAAAACGATACAACCTTTCAAACTCTATACTTGCTTTGCTATACATATAAATGACCAAGTAAAAAAACGTCTCACCATCTTCACTAAACAAAATATAAAGTCCTAGAAAACAACCACTTTTCTCAAACGTGCCTCGCTATTGTACCCTTGAGTATCTTTCTCCCACAAAATCTGACTCAAGGATTCTTATAAAATTTCTACGAGTTTGAGAACACTTCAACTACCGTAACCAATGCCAGGAATTGCATCTTATCCTCGGTGACGAAAAATGTAAGTTCATCTTTTTGAAGTTTTTTTATTCTGTTGCATGTTATGAACATTTAAACACATGAATCTCTGAAATGATTATTTGGTTCACGAATTTAGGGCTACAAAATAGAGGCATCGATAGATCATGATCTTATTTCTTCGCTCGGTCCAAAGTTTTAAGAAGGAGAATGAAATTATGTCAAATTCTTCAACGTTGTCAATGCGTTCAGATCTTTCAGAAATACTATAAACTACCACTTCATCAACATGAACGCCGATACTGTTGTAGAAAAGACCTTTCAAGTCAGTCCTAAGCATATGATGGATTTTATGCCATTTGATGCCATTATCCGAGGGATTTTCCCTACTAGGTACTCTATCGGTTAGGCTTCTCACCTTTATTCAATTTAAGAATTATTATAAATATTGTGTAATGAATTTTTTTCTTTGTAGACTTGATCGGCGTAATCATCTATGTTGATGATGAACTGAGTACTGACATTGATGACCCCTACGAGATGATTTTTGGACCTTCTCATAAATTGGACATTCAGATAAGAGACATGAAGTAAGATGTTTTATATTATCATCTATATATGTAAAGACCAATAATTTGTCTTATATTATACATATGTATTGTTAATGTTGTTGTAATATAATTTTTTGGTTTAGTTATGTTGATATGGACATCGAACTCACTGGGAAGACTGCTC